AGTATCCTGTTGTAGAGACTGAGGCAACTCACACCACCGGGACACGAGTAACGGGAGCAACATGTCCTTTAAGGCTGTGGTCCTTGCACCGAGAGATTCTTAGACCCAGGAAACAAAGGAAGGCGTAACACTAGCGATGGTAAGAGGCAGAGGTAAGCAGGCAAGACCCCCAACAGCAGAGAAAAGAGCAGCATAGCCAGGAGCGTGATGAGTTGTGGACTTTCTAGGCTACTTGCTCCGTGCAGGATTCAATCCTAACGGACACCGAAGAGCCTGTCCTCACAGAAGCAAGATATGATTGTGTGGACAGAAACTTCATAAAGTTTAAATGAGTTGAGTCATTTTGGTTTTTTAACATTCATCCATAGGGTTTATTATAAGTGAGTGATTGTTGTTGTTGTTGTTGTTGTTGTGTACCATCGAGTTGGAACCGACACATAGCAGGTTTTCAGAGGCAGTTAAACTCCTAGAAAGAGACTGCCCTTTCTTCTCCCTTCTCCCACAAAGCAGTTGGTGGCTTTGAACAGTTTGCCTTAGGGATTATAGTGCAGTTTCTTGTCACAAGGTCATCAGAGCTGCAAGAGGTGGGAGAGATGAGAGAGAGAGAGAGAGAGAGAGAGAGAACGAGAACACATTAATACTCAGAGTACACTGTTAATGTCAGGTGTGCCTCTTTTTATTGTTTGTTCCTTTTCATTCACATTGTGTATCTTTTTTTTTTTTTGAAACGCAGGTCTGCATTTTCTTTTATTTTTTTAAGTCATTTCTGTCCTTTACAATGTGCTGTCCCACACATACACACATATGTGTGCACTTGCACACGTGCACACAACCACACTCACACAACTTGAGATGGAGAGAGGAGCAAGGATAGCCTCCAAATATGGGGTTTTACAAAGTTCAAAGTCAATTACATGTATGTGCTTTTCAGGCATTACACAACGTACAGATATGATCCATTTAACGATTTAGGCTCCTCAAAAGGTTCAACAATGAAAATTCCCTGTGAAAGAGTATACATAAAAGCTCTGTAGAAGCAAAGTACAGTTTCCTGCAAAAAATCAACATCAGGCATACATTGTGTGTTTACATATATTCCTTGAGAATGTTATTGTCGCAGTGCATAAATTCATTCAGTAAAAAGATCTGGAAGATGATTTTTCAAGAGACTTAATGCATTGTGCTCTTGGGTAAAAATCTTAAGTCAAAATATTAGTTACTATGATAAGTTAAAACTGCATATATATATTATGTTAGATATAGACATCTAACATACATGTATGTTAGAGATCAGAAGAGGCTATAAAGAAATGCAAATAGTTGTGCTTAGGGACTTTTTTTGGTAAAGTAGTTTAATAAATAAAAACTTAAAAAATGTCTCAGTGACTGATACAAAATAGACACGGATATCAAGGATTTTCTATGCGTGGCCTAGAGTTTAAAGGATCGGCTAATCCCAATTTGGGCACATCACTTACATGTGGGTAGGCAAGGGGCAAGGGAGAATAGAGACCAAGTCCACACCTCCTTAATATGAAGCGTTTCTGTCCAGAGTCACAGCCAGGGTAAACCAATTAGATAACTCAATTCCTATCTTCCCTCAAAACTCTCAGACCTATTTCTAGAAGGGAGGTCTGGTACACAGTACAATTTATAGAGGTTTTTAGAAAGACCTATATGCTTGGTGTTAAGACCACAACCTATCCAGTAGTTCAGCAGATGAATTAGTCATGCCTTGTCCTCTGTGAATCCCCAGGACACGCATGATCCCTCAGTATCTTAATGTTTTACATTAACCGCTAAAATGCTGTCCTAGAAATGCAACTGCTCGTGATGGTGAGTTCAAACCCAACCCACTGCCAACAAGTTGATTCCAATTCATAGCAACTTCATAGGTCAGAACAGCCCGTAGGATTTCTAAAACTATAATCTTTACAGGGTTGAATTATTTAAGTGCTTGAAAGCAAAGAAGTCACTTTGAGGACTAAGGTGTGCCTGACCAAAGTCATGGCATTTTTCCATTGTCTCATATCCACGTGAAAGTTGGATAAAGAATAAGGAAGACACCTTTGAATTGTATTATTAGTGAAAGTACTGAATAAGCTACAGTCTGGAAAAAAAAAACCCAAAAATTAAAAAACACCCCTAATCAACCTGTGTTGGAAGAAGTGCAGCCAGAATGCTCCTTAAAAGCAAGGATGGAGAGAATTTGGTCTCACATACTTTGGGCATGTTATCAGGAGGGGCCTGTTCCTGGAGAAGCACGTCATGCTTGGTAAGCAAAAAAAAAAGGGTCAGCAGGAAAAAAAGATGACCCTTAACAAGGCAGACTGCCTCAGTGACTGCAAGAATGGGCTTAAGCAGAGCACAGAGTGTGACGATGGCACGGGATCAGGCAAGGGGTTTTTTTCCTGTTGTACAAAGTCGTTATGAGTCAGAGCTGACTGTATGGCATGTAGCAACAATCTTGACAAAAGCAGACAGCCACATTTTTCGCCTGCAGAGCAGCTGGTGAGGTCAAACCACTGACCTTTCAGTTAGTGGCTGGATGCTTTAACCGTTGTGCTACTAGGGCTCCTTTCACAATAGCAGACAAGCATAGCTTACATAGCAACATTAATGCTTGCAAACAGAAAATAAAAATTCTTTTCCTTTTAAGAGGGTCAGTTTGCCCTTTCAGTCTTTAACTTTGACGGACACATGAGCTTAACAATCAGAGTGAACTAGAAAAAGAGGCTAAAGTAACAAGTGCCTGATTTAAAGTCATTTGCACATTATGCATTGATATAAAAAGATTTTCTTCAAATCATTTCATAGGGGGGAAAATCATTTCATAGGAGTCACTCAGAAACTCCATTTCTGTCTTTAGCATAATGTGCTGGAGTTCTTAAAATAAAATGAGAAAAGTAATTCAAAATATATATTACACATTTGCGATTATTTTAAATCATTTGTAGCATGTTAATGGAGTGAAACAGAGATAAAAGGCAGTTCACATTCATGGTGTTTGGAAGATAAAATTACTTCAGAAGTCAACTGAAATCCTTGGCTCCTGGTCTAAGTACAGCCATTGTGATAAGACCTAAAATGTATGCAGCCACTAGTTTCTGATTCACACTTAAGTGGAGGTAGAGAGGCACCAGCGATTCCACATCTCCCAGCGTGGGAAGCATCAGGGCCGCAATGCAAGCCACTCCCAGGAAGACAGTAAACTAGGGCCTGAAGAGGCACTTCTGTTTTCTGGTTGCGATGACTGCTCAAAATATAAATTGTCTGTTGAATGCTCCTTTATTGTCTTTTCATCTTCTTCCTTTTGTTGTTCTTTTGCAGATGAGAGAAGAGTGGCCACAATCTCCTTCTTTCCTAAAGCCTTCCTCTGGCTTTGCTCAGAAACCTGGAGCCGGAACTTGTCTTTTACACCATAGTGACAGGACCGCACGTCTCGGTGCCGAATCACGCTATCCACACAACACTGAGGCTTTACTGCACCTGTAGCATCAACGACAACATACTTATTTGGAGTAGTACACAAAACTTTGAACTCATAGGGATTCTAGAGAGTCAACACTTGCTTATGTGTTGACTGATCATCTGCGTAAAATAGTAACTCAGTGGGAAACACGAAAACAGGAAGATTCCCTTCCACAAATTCTGGTTGTCTTTTTGGTTGATGCATTGGCACTGAATCCCCCCCGCTGTGGCTTCTGTTTGTACAGTCTCAAATCGACTTTGGACTTGGTTTAGCTTCAGTTAAAAACTCCAAAACGTCTTGGCAATCTCGGCGACACCGGCTCCTCAGAAAGCAGCTGCGACTGCTCCTCCGCTCCTTTGTCAGCGGCTTGCGGCTGCACTGCCTCACATTGTGTATCTTATGATCATTCTTATACATTGTGCCCTATAAAAATAATCACCATTGATCAATGCCCACTGTTTCCCCAACTCTTCAGGTACCCCCTGGATCATTCATAATTGCTTCGTCCACTCACTCCAACCACCAAACTCTAGGATCCCACGATTTCACCCTCCTTCCCACTTCCAGCCTCCCTGTACTCTCCCCTTACCTCTTTGAATATCCACACATATTACTAGTTATCCTTACACTGTTACAAAAATTCTCTCATCCTGTGTTTGTCTTTTGGCACCCAAGTTAATTCACTCAGAATGTTTTCTAGCCTCTCCCATGTTATATTTTTCGGCATCATCTCTCCTGGGCTGCACAGTGTTCCATCTTGTGAATGTATCACAGGCGATCAACCCAGTAATTTGTTGGTGGACATTTGGAATGTACCACTGCTATGTACATCAGTGTACAGTGTATAAATCTCCATTTTTGTCTCTGTTGTTTTCCTTGTTTTATCTGTGTGGCTCTTGCCATGAATTTTATAACTCTGTGGAGAGGGAGGGAATGCTGTGGAGTTACTGTTGGAGTCACAATTTGTTTAGGAAAATAATTTACAGGCATGAGATCTGTGTGTGACCTACACCTCACAGGAATCTTCCCTGGACTAAGGATGCTGTTGATGCCAATTTTCTCTAACATGAAATTAAAAGAAGTCACATACTTTCATCTCTAGGCCATTCTCATACTTGATGACTTATTCATAGTGGTTAAATTCACTAAATTTGCAATCAGCTCAGTCAGATTCCAGTTCTACTCTACACTAGTCAACATGAAAATTGAGACAAAGCACTTAACTTCTCTTTAGCGACCATATTTTGTCTTTAAGTGGAAAGTAATCACTATAACTGCATCAAAAATTGATGCAGAATAAAGACACTGCCTATTACAATAACTTTTTAGTATGTATTTCAAGTTCTCTTTAAACGGCCTATACCCAACTCTTGAGAACTTCTGAGTGACTCAATGTTTCTGAGTGAGAATTATCAGAAGATGAAGAAGAGTGAATTTCAGTGGATGTAACATATGCGACTCATGTCCAGTTTCTCATGCAGGATACTCTTCCTCAGAAGACCTAGATCTGTCACTTGCAACTACGAGAATGGCCACAAAGAATTTCCCGTTAGAATTTTTTTTCATATTGCAGACTACTATTGGTATCCTAGGGAATTTCTCTCTTCTTTCCCATAATATTTTTCTCTCCCTTTCAGGCTGCCAGTTACGGTACACAAGCTTGATTATCAGGCACGTGACTGTTGCTAACTTCATGGTCATTCTGTCTAAAGCAATCCCCCAAACTCTGTCATTCTTTGGCTTTAACAATTTCCTCAATGATTTTGGTTGTAAAATTCTTTCCTATGTTCACAGAGTGGGCAGGGGCGTGTCCATTGGCAGCACCTGTCTGCTGAGTGTCTTCCAAGCCGTCACCATCAGCCCTGGGAACTCCAGGTGGGCAGTGCTGAAGGTCAAAGCTTCCATGTACATAGCTTTTTCTATTATTTTCTGTTGGATCTTTCACATGCTGCTAAATGTCATATATCCAATCATTGTTATCAGCCAGTGGGCCAATAATACTATCACAGAAGACAAAAAAAATATATACTGTTCTTCTGTTCATCGGGACAAAATTGTAGGATCACTTTTTGCAGCACTGACAGCGTTCCCTGACGCTGTGTGTCTGGCACTCATGCTCTGCAGCAGTGGCTCCATGGTTTTCATCCTGTACAGACACAAGAAGAGGGTCCAACACATCCACAGGAACGTGTCCCCCAGAGCCTCCCCTGAGACCAGAGCCACTCAGACCGTCATTGTGCTGGTGAGCACCTTTGTGTCTTTTTACACTCTTTCTGTCATCTTTGATGTTATTATAAAAATTTCTGGTCACTCAACTCAGTTGTTATTGAACTTAACAGGACTAAGTGCTGCATTTTACCCAACTCTCTGCCCTTTTGTTATCATAAGATGTGAGTTCAGAGTCTCCAGGGGTTCCTCAGTCCGCATATGTAGATAAAGTAACAGCGCAGTGTTAGAAATAAATATTGTTAGATTTGCCTCCTATTTTGTCAGAAATACATTCTTACCTTACGATTGACTGGTTTTCTTATCAGATAGAATGCAAACACATGTTTAGTAGTTCTATTGCTGCTTTGCAATCTCACAAATTGGTTGGGCACATGCACACCTGGATGTATATCTTAAATAGCATGCACACAAACGGTGCAGGAAAATTGGTTTTCTAGTTCCATCGTTTTTATTTCTGCCACGCAGTTGGTGGAATATACCAACCAGATGAGTGAGCCTTCGTGGTAAGATTGGTTCGTTTTCTCCCATCCCACCAACTTTAAAATGAGAAAGTCTGGGAACACAGTTGACAATCTCAACTACAAGCAAGGAAGGAGAAGCAGAGAATACAGCACCATCCTACAGGACCAGAGATTCCTGCCCCAGTCAGAAGAGGAACAAAAAACTGACTGAACATGAGGGGGAGATGAGTTGGGACTGCTGCCTCATGGAGCCAGAGCCAGGGGTTTCCAGTCACTATTTGATGGAGGACTGGGAAAGGGGAAGGCTGTTAGGAGCAGTTCAATTCATTTTGCTGTAACACATATTATGAGATATCTTAAACTATAATTTGCTGTCTTGCATTATGAAATGTGTTTGCTGTGGAAAAATGTTATAATAAATTTGATGCTTAAGTATAAAAATAAAAGTATTTGGTGCAACCACTGTGGAAAATGGTGTGGCGCTTTCTCAAAAAGTTGCAAGTAGAGATACCATTTGACCCAGCAATTCCACTAGTGGGACTATACCCTAAAGAGACAAAAGCTGCCATCCAGACAGATATAGGCACACCCATGTTTACTGTGGCTTTGTTCGCAAAAGCAAGGAGTTGGAAACAATCCAAGTGCCCATCAACAAATGAATGGATAGAGAAGTTGTGGTATATTCACACAATGGAATACTACGCTGCATTGAAAAACAAGGAACTCATGCAATATTTTCAAAATGGGTGACCCTGGAGGACTTTATGCTGAGTGAACACTCTCAGTCACAAAAGGACAAATGCTGTATGGTGACACTGTTGTAGAACAGGACTGACGTCAGGGTTGGGGTAAGACTGAGAAAAACTGGATAAATTAAGTATACTGTATTGAAACAGATGAGGGAGAGAACAGTTATCACAAGAGTCCAGAATTAAGGTTGCATAGCGGAGTGTACTCAGGACGGTGAGGGGTGAGGGGGTTGTGGGGGGATTGTATACCAATGAAAGAATTTTTCTTTTACTTTTCAAAGAGAGAAGTGAACTGGACTGGGCAAGGAGAAGAGGGCAACAATGAATGGATGGAAATCCAAGATCTCTGTAAAAGTTCATTAAAATGAAAAGAAAATAATAAAAGTATTTATGAAAATATATATTAGCAGTTTAACATGTCTAAATGGGCCTCTTTGAGGCTGAGAGCCCCACTAAACACAGTAAGTGCAAATCCTTGATAAGGGACTGTAACTGATAATAACTTGCCTGCAAAGCTACTGTGTGAATCCTGATAAGGAACTGTTACTGCCTATGTTACAAAGAGAACGTAACTTGTAAATTCTAAAGTAAGAAATATGTTAAGAACCTGCTATATTATATGTTAGAATTAAAGTAGAAAATATGTTAAGAACTTGCTATGTTATATGTGAGAATTAAAACAATATGTTAAGAACCTGTATATTATATGTTAGAATTAAAGAAAATACGTTAAGAACTTCCTATGTTATATGTGAGAATTTAAACAATATGTTAGAAACTTCCTATCTTATATGTTAGAATTAAAATAAGAAATATGTTAAGAACTTGTTATATTATATATTAGAAAGAAAGTAAGAAATAGGTTAAGAACCTGTATATTATATGTTAGAATTAAAATAAGAAATATGTTAGGAATTTGCTGTTAGAAATTATGTTAAGAATATTTGTGAAAGCATACTGAACAGTTAATATGTCCAATTAGGCTGCTTACAGGCCTAGGGCCCACTGACCACAACAGCTGTGAGCCCTTGATAAGGAGATATGAGTGGTTACTGTCCTTTTGCCAAGGAAACACAAGGCAGTCCTTAAGGGTTTACCAGATTCTTGAATTTGCTGACCTCTCCCTCCTCACTCAGGGGAAGGTTTTCAACAGAAAGAGCTTGGCTTCATTTGCATTGAATTCTCTTTGTGATTTACTTCCTGATAATTTTCAATGAAGATACAGGGAAGCTCTGGTTGGGTCTTCCGTTGAGAACTGCTGGCCCCCTGTTTTTACTCTATTTTATCTCATTCCTGGCTGGCTGTCTCATTATTAACAATCATAAAAAATACTTTCCCCTCAGTCTGCAACAGGAGGGATTGCATAGCAATGAAAGAGTTTTTCTTTTACTAATCAAGGAGAAAAAGAAATTGGTGGGTAGGGGGTGGGCAGGGAGAAAAGTGCAACAATGAATAACTAGAAACCCTAAGTCTCTGTAAACTTTCATTAAAATTAATTTTAAAAATACTACAAAAAAACCCCGCACCTTATCACTAAGTTTAACTTGAGATAGAGTTATAAACTCCCCTTCCCTGGGTCTTGTTTTTTTCAAGCCTCAGGTTACCAGTGGGGAAGCCATGGATACCCATATTCATCCAGTAGGGTGTAATGCAATTGATTTTAGGGATTTTTCTTATCAGTTGCTTGCACTGTGCTATTTTTTACTTGTATCTCCTTAATCACTCTTAAATCTTTTATTGTTGTTTTCTCTGCATAATTTAAATTATAGTGAAGTACCTGGGCTGAAGCTGAGAAAAAATTTTGGCTGAGAAATATTCACAGAGTATCAGGGGATCCACAGTACTCATGGTCTTCACATTTGAGAATTCATTTCCAGTTCACTCCATGGGGGGCTCCATCTGTCTCCAGGATCTGGGACAGGAAAGAGACTCCCAGACACATCAATGGTGTCATCAGACAGACTTACCAGAAACTTTTAATTGGTTTTCTTAATGAGCATCTGCAACACACTTCCCAGAGATGTCCACATCTCCCCAAGCCTGCACTGTCAATGCCACTGCAGGTGAAATGGTAATCTAGGTCTGCGGGGAACAGAGGAAACATTACAAAACATCTGGGCCATGGACTCTGTCTTCATCCCTCAGACTCTTGCCTTGGATGCCATGACCCTCGTCCTGAGCCTGGTAGACTGGCAGCTACAAGGACCTGGGTAAGTATTTGCTGTTTCAGCCTGAGAGACAGAGGTTGTAAGGGATGGAGACCCATGAGAGTTTGAGTAAATGGTCGTATGGGAATGAGGAAAACTTGTGAATTAGAAAGTGTTCCACTCTTCTCTATGAAGCAGGCCTTTGTAGTTTGTGATGAAAGATTATAGAGGTCTAAACCCAAGGATTCTATCCAATCTCTAAATGTGTTAGTTCCATGTAATGCCATCCTCCAGAATGGTGATTTTAGATGTTTAATCCTAGTGAGCAAGAAATCTGAATTTTAAGCTGATTAAAGAGTCCTGGCCCTGATCAATCTGTGTGTACATATTGTAGACATTTTAGGATGACTAGAGGTTTCTCTGTCTTCAGCCCATTCTTGTAACACTGAGCATTCACTTGTGATACGTGAGTCACCTAATTCTGGACAGAAATATTGTATCTGCATTGTCCTCGCCAGAGTAGAAATGCTTGCTGTATGTTTGATGGCTGGTGCGTGAATAGAAGCAATCATTGTGCTTTTTCTCCGACATCTTAACAAGGCTGCACTTTCGCTTCTCGGCCTTTTGGCTAAGATCAAGTGTAACAAGGCTGCACTTGTGGTAGCTCCTCTCCGAGCTTCACGATGCTGCCCAAGGACGACAAGAAGAAGAAAGATGCCGGAAAGTAAGCCAAGAAGGACAGAGACCCAGTGAACAAACCTGGGGACAGGGCCAACAAGAAGAAGTAGTCCAAAGGCAAAATTCAGGACAAGCTCAATAACCTGATCTTATTTGACAAAGCCACATATGACAAACTTTGTAAAGAAGTTCCCAACTCTAAGCTTATAACCCCAGCTGTTGTGTCTGAGAAGATTTGAGGTTCCCTGGCCAGGGCAGCCTTTTAGGAGCTGCTCAGTAAAGGGCTTATCAAGCTTGTTTCAGAACACAGAGCTCAAGTCATTTACATGAGAAACACCAAAGGTGTCGATGCCTCAGCTGCTGGAGAAGATGCATAAACAGGTTCAAGCAACTGGACATTTTAAAAGATAAAACTTTACTCAATTAAAATAAAAAAGAAGCCATTATTGTGTCTCTCCTGAAAGTACTTTTTCTGTTGATGAATGGTGGCCTAATTTACCTCTATCTTAAAACTACGCTTATGGAAAGAACCTTTTCTAATACCAGGTTTCACGAGTCAGCTGTCAAGGTCAAATATCTTTTCTTTTTGTCATGTCAGATGGGTAATATGCCTATGCGGTAACAAGGTTTAGTGGGTGGCACATATCATACAGAGGTATAAACTCCCATCAGCATGCGTATGAACCGGAAAAGGATGAAGCTCAAATATACCATATACTATTTCTCTGGTTTAAATGCATCCTACTGTGTAAGGAGACATTCCAGACTTTTCAGTCCATAAAATGAGCAAGAGGTTCGGACGGATAGATTTTGTTGATCAGTTATGTTAATAAACTGCCCAAATGCCCCTCACTGCTCAGACTTTTACTCGAATATTATAATAATCAAATTATGAACATAAAAATTAAAATGAATAATATTGATTTCTTTTCTCTACTGTTTTATCACATTTTACCATCTCATGTCTCAACCGACATGATAGGAAATTGCTTAACAGTCCTGAGATAGGTG